TAGATAGATAGATAGATAGATAGATAGATAGATAGATAGATAGATAGATAGATAGATAGATAGATAGATAGATAGATAGATAGATAGATAGATATTGTTGTTGTTTTCCTGTTAGTTGTCTCTTTCATACAACTTTTGCAGTCAAACTGCTTCTGTGTAATTTGTGACTTTGTAACAATTCATACATTAAACGTTTGGTTTGATCAGGAGATGTAGGCCATGACGTTCAGCATCTCTAACTTTGTCTCATTATTTAACTTAATTTCAACAACTTAGCCCACAGATACACAATGAGATCTTTTCAGTTTCTCAAAAAACATTGTTCTCTATGAAATCTGCTTTCATATGTGAGCCATCACATCGAAACGAGGATTAATTAAGTCTAAAAGTTATACACGGAGAAATAGGCAAATGCAGCATTTTGACTAAAATATTAACAAAAATTGCATTTTGTCAAAGCACTTTTTTTGAGCAGTAGCAACAAAAAAACTGATTTCGAGGGAAAACGCCTTAAAATTTTGAGATTTTCCCTGTGAGTTAGCAAAGTTTTGTTTCTTTTTAGCTGGGAAATCTCAATATTCAAATATAACTTGATGTTTCCTCTTTATAAGGACATCAAATAATCCTCATTAAAATGAGGAAACTTTCTGCCTCTCCTGGTGAACCTTAAGGTCATCGCTACATGGGCATCCCTTCCTCTATCCCTGGGGGGTAGAATCAACGTGATCAAAATGACAATATTGCCCAAATTACTTTATCTATTTCAGAGCATGCCAGTGTTCCTCACCAGGACTTTCTTRACAAATTTAAATAGTGAATTGTCGTCCTTTATTTGGAATAAAAAGCATCCACGGATAGCCAGTAAGATGCTACAGTTGCCCATGGTCTTGGTGGCTTGTCACTCCGCAACTTTTTACATTACTACTGGGCGGCTAGCATTAGAGCCTTACTGTACTGGTTGAGAGACGACAATCCTGTTCCTACTTGGGTAAATCTAGAGAGGAAATCAGTTACGGCGAGCTCTCTCTCTCTCTCTGCTTTACTTTGCTCCCAGTTACCGTTTAATCAACCCATCTCAACTTACACTTCTAATCCGGTTCTAACTCACACAATAAAAATCTGGAATCAGTGCAGGAGGTTGCTTAAAAGTACAGAATTATTATTGTCTGCTCCAGTATCAAATAACCATATGTTTGCTCCTTCNGCTCCTAAAGAGGTAGGGGAATTTAAAAAGCAAATTCTCAGTGGGGGGGCACGGTCAGTCATCTAACATCAGTCTGCTTCAAAAGACCCTACAAGGGGCAGTTGTACCCTCAACATCATCATATCTCCAATAGGACCATTCTGGCACACAAACATTTCCACCACGATAAGGTGGCGATTCACAGAGGAGGTGCTTTGATATGTGAATTGGTTCGATTATGTTTTAATGTTGAATGGTACAAAGCAGTGGCGGATCTAGGATTTTTCAGCGTGCCACAGGGGTCACATTATTCATAAAGGGGCCAAGTATTTGTTCAACATGCTTGCACACAAATCCCCAGTTTTTGTAAGGTGTATAATTTTAATCAGTTACACGTGTTCAGACACTTGTAAAAGCTTGAATAGTAAATACTCCTTATCAATTTTACATGCATTTTTACTGCAAATAAATAAAACATTCTCAAACACACAGCATGTGAGAAAATCCAACTATCGTTGTCAGTTAAAACGCTTAAGCTTGCTTCATGCTGGACTTTCCTATTTGACTCATTAGCGCCCCTACTGGGTGGAAGTTGAACTGCAGCCACTCTCGGGCAAAGGACCCGCCCCTAGAACCGCCCCTCGTACAAAGTGTGCAAATTTAGTTTTATTGCAAAAGCTAACTAAAAAAAATAAATAAATAGTAAAACAATAGCATGAATGCTGTCATCATTTGAACACATCTGCAATCACTTAAAGTGACTCTGATCAACATGCGCGCTGGTTCAGCTGTCTCAGCGGGATTGTTCGACATTTCCTGTAAGAGTTCCAACCTAAAGCAAAATTCAAGGTTCACAGAGACTCACAAAGCATCAAAATACATTAAACATTGTTAAAATTCAATGCCGGCTCTTGGCATAGGCGAACTAGGCGGTCACCTAGAGCGCCATCTGCTGGAGGGGGCGCCGAACTGCAGAAGAAAAAGCAATTATTTGTAATCCCTGGTTGTAACTCTGCTCAGCGCCCCTTTCAATTAGCTTTGTCTTAAAAAACTATAATGAAGTATTACAGGAAAAATAAACTACTCTACCCATAAAACATCCGCCCCCCATGGAGCAAATGCCCCCACCCTCTCTCTCATTTGATTGACGTTGCACTGACTCATCTCTGACACTCTGATGGGGGAGGGGCTAGTAGTGCCTCTCAGGTAGCGGTTCGTGTTGACAAACTCAATAACAACAAGTCTGTTTTGTTGTCCCAAACATGTCAACCTCTTCGTACGTTTGCCTGGATAAAAAGCCTCAAAAATCTGTAAATTTAGCAAAAAATCCATACAACTCGCACCCGGGGGTGGGGGTGGGAGGTAAATCTAAGTTTACCATAGTACCTTACATTGTCAAACTTGTTTTTAGGGGTTCAAATTGGGGTGGGTGGGACATAGTTTGAGGGTGGGGGAGTTTGCGCTTCAACTAGCCTAGGGCACCAAAATGGCTAGAGCCGGCAATGGTAAAATGAATCTGTCAGGTGGTACTATACATTTCCCCAACATTAGATAACCAATAATCACAATGAAAACTGTCAAGAAGTGCAGAAAATATAGAAAACTGAGAACTGGATGTCCCTCTAAAAAACTGATGAAAAAACAAAACAGAAACCGGTCAGGGAGGGCTGCAGATGTCAACAATCATACTGAAGGAGCTGCAGGAAGTTCTGATTGTGTTTAATATGTGACATTTTCTTGTGTTCTCGGTATGCCTGAATAATAGGATGGGGAAGTTTTTATGTTCTTTTTTTCTTACAACAAAAATAAAGATAAATTAATAAAAGTTGAATAAAAAATATCAAGTTTCTTAAAATCCTGTAGGAAACTATATTGAGTTCTGATAAGCCCTAAAATTAAACTGTTCATCTATAACTATAAAATCTGTTTGTATCAATTCAAGTCTGTATTACTAAAAGAACCCACAGTGAAACATGGTAACGGCAGAATTATGTTCAGATTCAGGTTCAGATTGAAGAGGATGTTACCTCTAATCATGCCCCTCCAGGTCACACTGTCGTTATGTGGGCAGTGAAGTCCCCCAGCATAATAAATGAACGACCAGGTGGAGCACCAGGGGCGGAGCCAGGGGGTGGCCATGGACCACAGACAAATCTTTGGCCACCCCATTGGCCACCCTGCTGTAAACACACACCGCTTCCACAGTGAAACAACCTTTAAGGTGTAATAATCCTCCTGAACAGTTGGTGGCAGTGTTTAACAGTTTGAAACAGTGTGCATTGCCAATGTAATGCACACTATTGTGATTCGTTTCCCATCCAAGTCATCTCAAATTTGACATGCTTCTCCTCCTGCATACTTTGTCCTAGAGCTNATGGACTTGGAGGAATCCATATCAGACACAGTTTGGCAAAAAATTATTCTAAATATATATTCGTCCTCAATATGTGTGAAACATGTTATAGTTCAATTCAAGGTAGTACATCGTCTACACTGGTCTAAGGACAGTTTGTGCAAATTCAAAAGGGACTTGGATCCATTGTGTGATCGTTGTAAACTATCTCCTGCCACACTTCTGCACACATTCTGGTCCTGTCCAAAGCTACATGGATACTGGTAAGGCATCTTTGACACCTTTTCAGGACTATTTGGACGAACTGTTCATCCATCACCATTCATCTCTCTCTTTGGGGTGGCTCCAGCAGAGGCTTCCCTCAGTGAACATCAGAGGACGGTGTTAGCTTTCTGCTCTCTACTGGCTAGAAGACTTAGACTTAGGTTTTTTTTTCTGTAGTTTGTGTTAAAAAATAATAAAAAGACTTTGATCAAAAAAAAATGAAAAAATTAGGATTCAGTCGAAATATTTGTCTTACTGTAACCAAAAGACGAATTAAGTCACATATATGGATTTAATTATGATAAAATGATCCAGGTATCAAAACGTAGCTTTTAAAGCCAATAATCTGAAAATGTAATTAGGTCATTTTGACCAATGACTTAATCCTCATTTTGATGTGATGGGTCACATTATTTTCATACTAACATTAGCTTTTAGCTAGTTTGGATGATTTACATTTAGGTCTGTTCATTTTAATTTCAAAAGTTATTTTATGTTCATTCTCCAACAAACTGTGGCAAATTCATTCTATGCATTTACACCACATTTTCACCAATAAACTCAATAACATCACAGTTTGTTTTAGCTGTTGTCCTGATCTCAATCCACTGTGAATGATGGGGTCAACATTTAAAGATCCACCTCTAATCTTAACAAAGTGCTGGCAGTAATCTGATTAGTGAATTAGGGAGAAAATAATGATAATCTCCATCCTGCAGCTCTTAGTTAATGACTGTCAGATACAGTGGCTTTAAACACTACAAACAGCCATGTACAGATGTTTTTAAATCAAATAAAATGATCAAATGTGTTTGTTTTTGTCTGGAATTGAAAAAAAATCATCACCAACCAAGAAGCATTTATATCAAATAAAAAAATCGATTAATTTATTAAGTAAACCTCTAATCGGACAGCATCAAAATGAGAGAGTTAGCAGTGAAAGCTAACATGTTGCAACTACTTCAGCAAACAAAAGACACTCACCTCAGTTCACGTCGCGTCTGTGAGTCATCCAGGATGTGGAGGGAGAGCGTTACAATCCGACAAATGTTTTCAAGAAGTGGGCATTAGCCAGCTTCTGTGGTTTTAATTAGTTTTGTGTTTGGCTAAAAGGTTAGCCTGTGGCTAACGCTGCCCACTTACAGAGCAACTCGAAGCTGGCCCAGCGCGAGCGTTTCTCCTCGAGCGAGTTCCCTCCCCGTGCTCCCCGGCTGCTTTCAGTGTCAGCTCCCTGAGGTGACTCGGACAAACTAACTGCAGACAAACATCACAGCAAGGTGGTCCAGATAGTGATGACACGTAACGTTTTTTTTTTTTAAACAAAAATCCAAAATGTCCACGAGAATTGTTATCAAGGAAATACAAAAGGCAAAAACGACCTCCGGCAGAGCGCGAGCTTTTCCTCTGAAGAAACACGGCGCGCCCAGACGCTTTCAGTCATATTTCCTTGTGTTTAATCATTAACAAAACACGCCGCTGCTCGGAGCTACATGGAGGCTGGTGAAGAGATGAGGAGCTTTCTTCTCTGCGACCTCCAGGAGAGAGAGGGGCTGTCCACCGGAGAGAGAGACGATGATGCTTTCACTGCCCAGACAGATCACCCCCATCTGCCTCCGTCCACCGGCTCTACAGAGTTTATATTTAAAATATAATTAGTCTGTGAACACACCAGGCTGTAAAAGACATTTTAAACATCTCATTTTATTTAGACACAAACAAAAGGTGTTTGCACCAAAACACACCGACATTACAGCGGTGCAGTCCTCTAGCGCCCCCTGCTGTCCATCAACATGTTTTTATGTCATAAAACAGTGGTTCCCAAACTTTTTATCTTCTGACCCACAAAATATTCATGGCAAAAACTTGTGACCCCAAATATTACTGGTCTGAGTACATGAGCTTCGTTAATAAACCTAAAAACACAGGCTTTTTGACAATCTAAACAGCTTGTACACAAATATAAATACTTATTTATAC